CTCCTGCAGGCCTCTGTCCCTCCTCCGAATTCTCCCACCTCCCCGTCCCCGTGAAACCTGCTATCATCTCCCACCAGACTGGACATCTCAACCCCATGGGTCCCACAGTGGGGACATTGAAAGACACTCCAGAAAGGCTCTGTAGGGCCATTTCTCAGGTCTGCATCTGCAGAGGGCCTCCTTGTGGGAGGTGACACATTCCTCTGGGACGAAGCCCACACACACTGGAAGGCTCTGGTGCCCTGCCTGTGACATGCTCACTGTGGGTGCAGCCTCCATCTGGGCACATAAGCATTGGCCCTATGGGGACTGGGGCTGCAGGACACCCAGCTGCTGCTTTCTTATGACCAGCAGTCTTTCCTCTCTACCCCGGGGATCTTGTGTCTTCTGCTGGCATGCAGACAACTGTGGCAGGTACCCCCTGACCCCTCACAGTGCTCAGCAAACTCCCACAGGGATCCTGGTCTCCCCTTTCCTTGCCTACTACAACTACCCAGAAACACGCCAATCCAGCCCAGCCCGGGCCTAGTTTCAGCTGTGGTGTGTGGGCTGCACTGCAAACCTCCCTGGGGCATGCCACTATTCAGTGGACATCTCTGTGAGCCACGCCCTGCAGGGACACAGACGTCCTACTCCCGGTAGCAAACGCTGACCCTTGGCCCTCTCTGTGAACACTGGCTCATCTGAGCCTCAGGACAGCCCATCAGCTGGGCCTTTGTTATCCCTGTTCCCAGATGAAGACAGGAAGCAGAAAAGCTGGGAAAGGGGTCAAGGTCCACTACAGCCCACAGGCCTGGTATGACCCCCAGAGCAGGCGGGGCAAGGGGTGGGATCTCACCCATCTATTTTATGAATACCCCACCAGGTAGAAAAACCTCCCTCCCGGCTGATACTGCTTGGAGCAGCCGGACTAACAAGCCCAGCCAGGCCATGGGACTGAGTGTAGCAGCGGCTGCGCTCACTCCTGGGCACCACAGGACTTCTGCCTGCCGACTGTGACTCCTTACATTCATTTTACGGAGTGACATGGAGTTTTCCCCAGTGGGACCGCATGACAGGCTGAAAATGCCGAGTGTGTACAACACGTCCACGGAGGCTTCATGCCACCCAGGTTATGTCAGGGATACTATAATTTTTTCTCTAGGTGGGGATTTTAGTGACGAGCTAAGGGTACTACAGGACAGCCAAAGCCGTTACGAGTAGTCTCAGCTGGCTTACAGGGACGCATTTATGGGTGTCCTGGGGGTTCTGAGTTCATCTTTAGCCATTGCTTTTCTGTTAGCCCTTCGGAGTCAACTTTTCCTGGTGGGAGTGGAGAACCTCTTTTTCTTCCCCATCCGTCCCACCGCCTCTGAGACTCCTCTCGAGCCCCCTCCACTCAGGACAGCCCCCTCTTTCTCCTCCTCCTCCAGCCACCACCCCATGTAGATGACCCGATGGAGCTTACTTCAAACCCGGCTTCCCCTGCCACTCCCCACCACCATCATCAAAGTATATTGTGTTGACGTGTATGGGAGCAAGTGGCAAGTGTGTGGGCAAGGCAGAGGTGTTCCTGGGTGTGACCCTCCCTGGGACACTGGCACAGGGACGGCAGGTGGTGGCTAGGGCACAAGCTCTGGCCTCAAAGTCCCAGAACCTTGGCCTGGCTCTTTGTTGCTATGTGACTTTCACAGATTGACGACCTCCCTGGGACTCGGCTTTCCCCTCAGAAGAAGCAACACTGCCCCATTCTGTGTGTCTGGGGGTGAGGGCAGCATCTGTAGTACACAGGTCTTAGGGATGCAAGGCGGGCAGCATGGTGGGAATTGGCACTGACACAGCTCTGGGTGTCAACCAGGCAGGACACACTAAGCCCACCTACGGCCACAGGGCCCATGATGATCGCCACTCAAAAGACGTGGAGGGCTCGGCGCCTGTGGCTCAACCGGCTAAGGCGCCAGCCACGTACACCTAAGGTGGCGGGTTCGAATCCCCAGCCCGGACCCGCCAAACAACAATGACGGCTGCAACCAAAAAATAGCCGGGGGCATTGTGGCAGGCGCCTGTGGTCCCAGCTACTTGGGAGGCAGAGGCAGGAGACTCGCTTGAGCCCAGGAGTTGGAGGTTGCTGTGAGCTGTAATGCCATGGCACTCTACCCAGGGGGACAGCTTGAGGCTCTGTCTCAAAAAAAAAAAAAAAAAAAAAAAGACGTGGAGACAGGCACGGAGAGCTGAAGTATCCAAGTCCATGTGGACAGGAAGCAGAGAAACCAGGATTCAAATCCAGGTCTGGCTCTCAGGTCCACACTCCCAGCTGCTGTTGTCGTCAGTGGGTCCCCAGTCCTGCTCCACAGTGAAGGGGACCTGGGAGAGGGAGATGGGCACCCAGAGTCCAGTGGGCCCAGGCTGACCCTCAGGAAGCCCCAGTTCAAGCCCACCCAGCAGGGCCTGGGCAGAACAGAGGCTTCCTCCGTGTAGGGACAAGGCTCATAGGTGGTGACATGTGCCTGGGCCACAGAAGGCAGCAGCAGTTATTCTCAGCCACCCTCAGCCAGCGGCCCAGAAGCCTCTGTTGTGTCTCACACTCACTTGGCACTGTCACCTTCCAGGAGTCAGAGCACTTGGGCTCTCTTCTATGTCCATGGCATGGTGCCTCCATGCCTATGGTGCTGACATCCAACCAGAGCAGTGAGTGGCTGTCTGGGACCTGCCCCATGGAACAGCAGTTGCTCCCGTGAGGGAAGGACAAAAAGCCTGCCTGGCCCTTCATTCTCCTTCCCAAACAAGGAGGGCTCCACGTCTGCACACACTGGGGCCTCTGCTGTCCCAGAACAGCACCAGCTGTGGGGCCTCAGGCACTTACTGGCACTCTCCAAATCTCTTTCTTCCACTGTGGCACTGGCCCATCCCCTGGCTGTTGTGAAACATAAACAAGAACTCTGGAGGTGCTTATAAAGCCCCCAGCATTCTGTGAACTTTCCCAACAAATATAGCATATGCACCCATACAGCAGAATGACGCGGTGCACAGGGGATGGATTACAAAGAAGAGTAAAGAACAAAATAGTGAGTGAACCCTGGCAAGTGGCAAAAATCTCCTGGGAGGTGAGTTTTAAGCCAGATGTTGGGGATGAACACAGCACTGGTGGGACAAGATGGGTCAGGAGAGACAGGAGTCTGAAGTAAGGCCAGGAGCAGTGGCTCACACCTGTAATCCAGCCAAACTCTGGGAGGTCAAAGTAGGAGGATCACTTGAGCTCGGTTCATGACCAGCTTGAGCAAGAGTGACACTCTGGCTCTATTAAAAATAGAAAAGTAAGGGTGGTGCCTGTGGCTCAGTGAGTAGGACACCAGCCCCATATACTGAGGATGGCAGGTTCAAACCCGGCCCCGGCCAAACTGCAACAAAAAACAGCTGGGCGTTGTGGGGGGCGCCTGTAGTCCCAGCTTCTCCGGAGGCTGAGGCAAGAGAATCACTTAAGCCCAAGAGCTGGAGGTTGCTGTGAGCTGTGACGCCACAGCACTCTACTGAGGGCAACAAAGTGAGACTCTGTTTCTTAAAAAAAAAAAATAGAAGGGTGGCTCCTGTGGCTCAAAGGAGTAGGGCGCTGGGCCCATATACCACAGATGGTAGGTTCAAGCCAGGCCCCAGCCAAAAACTGCAAAAAAAAAAAAAAAAAAGAATAGTAAAAAGTAAAATAAGCCTTTGTGGTGGGCACGTGCAGTCCTAACTACTCAGGAAGCTGAGGTAGGAGTATTGCTTGAACCCAGGGATGTAAGGCTGCAGTGAGCTACATTGGTGTCACTGTACTCCAGCCTGGATACCAGAGCAAGATTCTGTATCCAAAAAGAAAAAAAAGAAATGACCAAGTGTGTAAGGACATGTAAACTATCCTGCACAACCTTCAGAACGGTGCTACGTGGATGGCAATGAAATGGGCCAGGTCCCAGAAGAGCGAAGGCTGCCACGCTGAGCCTTGGCAAGGATAGCAAAGCCCAGGCCTTAGGGTAGCTCCTAGGCAGATCACTTCCTGGAGATGGACAGGTGGCATTTTATTGCAGTACAAAAGCTGGGCTGGAGACAAACCTAGAATGAATTTTGGGCTCAGGCTTTGATGGTGTCACCCTGGCAAGTTATGGACGCTGTGCTTTAGTGTCCTTCTGACACACAGGGTGGTCTGCAAGGCCTCAAGGAATGTCTTTGAAATCCACCTAATCTCCACAACTGAAATAGGACCTTGTTGTTCATTACTTATGGTCTTGTTTGAAAGCGGTGGGTCAGGCAAGGTGCTCTCTGGCAGGAGAGGCGCGGTCAGTCACTAACCCGACCTGCACACTGGCCCCATCCTCACAAGCGCCCGGACTTGGACACGTGCTCTGATCTGTACATTGGCCCCAACCTGCACACGAGCCCTGACCTGTACGCACACCCTGGCCTATACATGTGCCCTGTCCTGCACACACCCTGACTTGTACACATCATGTTCTGCATACGCACCTCGACCTGTACACAAACGCGATCCTGCACACGTGCCCCAACCTACACACGCCCCATCCTTCACTCGCGCCCCGACCTATACACACACCCCGACCTGTACACGGGCCCCGACCTGCACGTACGCCCCGGCCCGCGCTCCAGAAGGCAGAAAGAGGCACCGGGCACAGTGACTGGTGGAGACACCTGACTTGAAGGGCGGCAGGCGCCCCTTCCTGGGTGGACACCCCTTTCCACCTGAGTGCACAACCACACGGCCCCACGTCCGTCGGGCCTCCCCGTCTCTCGGCAACCGGTCTCGGCCCCACCCATTTCCCCCCCCGCCCCCGGCTTGTAAACAGGAAGTGGGCCTGCGCGCGGAGGCCACTTCCTGAGCGGCGAGGGGCGGGAGCGATTGTGAAGGGCAGCGGGGCGGAGCCAACCGCGCGTGATAGCAGAGGAAGAACCAATCCGGAGGGTCGTTGAGCGCCGGAGGGGGCGGAGCCTTAGACGCAGCCTGCGGAACGGGACCAATCGCGGCTGTCCGCGGGGCGGGGCCGGGGGCGCGGCCGGGCGGTGGCTCCGGCGACTGCGGCCGCATTGGAGTTGGAGATCCGGACCGACTCGGGGACCCGGGCGGGCGCGGCGATGCTGCAGCTGCGGGACTCGGTGGACTCGGCGGGCACGAGCCCCACGGCAGTGCTGGCGGCCGGCGAGGAGGTGGGGGCGGGCGGCGGCCCGGGCGGTGGTCGGCCGGGGGCGGGCACGCCGCTGCGCCAGACGCTGTGGCCGCTGAGCGTCCACGACCCCACGCGCCGCGCCCGCGTCAAGGAGTACTTCGTGTTCCGGGTGAGGGCCGGGGCCGGGGGACAGGAGGGACCCGGGGGCAGGAGGGACGCGGGTAGGGGGCGGGGGACGGGGCGGCCCGCGTGCGGTGACCTCTGCCCTCGTCCAGCCCGGCACCATCGAGCAGGCAGTGGAGGAAATCCGCGTGGTGGTCCGACCCGTGGAGGACGGCGAGATCCAGGGGGTGTGGCTGCTGACCGAGTAAGCCGGGGCTGCCTTTGGGCCTTGGGGGGAGCGCCCCTCGCCGGGACCGCCAGCTGGGTGGGCCCGGGTGGCTGAGCAGGGACAGCCGCGGACGAGTGCTCTGAGGCCCCGCTCTGCCCCCAGGGTGGACCACTGGAACAATGAGAAGGAGCGGCTGGTGCTGGTCACGGAGCAGTCCATGCTTATCTGTAAATACGACTTCATCAGTCTTCAATGCCAGCAGGTGGTCCGCGTAGCGCTCAACGCAGTAGACACCATCTCCTACGGGGAGTTCCAGTTTCCCGCTAAGTCGCTCAATAAGTAAGTCCACTCAGAGTCCACTTCCACTGGACATTGGGGGCCAGAGAGGACCTTATAATTCAGCCTTTTAAAAATTAGCCCTCAAGTGGTGTTTTCGCATCTGCAGCCATTTAGAAACATAAAGGCCGGAGCTTCAAAAATAAATGGGAATTTCCTCTAGAAGCACGTGACTTCTGGGCAGTTGAGTGCATTGAAAGGAAATCTAGCGCAAAAGACAGGAGTTAGGCCTGTAGTAAGAATGAAGGTGAGTTCAGGATGTAAGGAAGTAGAATGTGTTGAAAGTGAACTAGAATATTCTTCAGTTAAGCCCCAAGCTCTGCATCTTATCTCCAGCCAGGAAAGGATTTCATGTCATGTCAGGTGGTGCTAGGGTTAAATTTTAAAGAAAGGTAGGGTGCCACTTTAAGTTATAGATGTCACTAAAGGTTAGATAAATTTGAAAATATTTAATGACCAACTTGCAAGAGTTGATCTTTGGTAGAATTTTCTGAAATATAACAAACTCAGATATTAGTAAATTGTAAAACTTTTTGATGTAGAGATTTGGATAGGGAATTCATGTGAAGATTGTTTAGCATAACCAAAACAAAGTATTTAAGAATCTAGTAATTAAAGCAATTGTTAGTGGAGACTGCAGTTGCTATTAAAATCCACGATCCATTTTTTTTTTTTTTTGAGACAGACTCTCACTTTGTCACCCTCAGTAAAGTGCTGTGGCGTCACAGCTCACAGCAACCTCCAGCTCTTGGGCTCAGGCGATTCTCTTGCCTCAGCCTCCTGAGAGGCTGGGACTACAGGCACCTGCCACAATGCCTGGCTATTTTTTGTTGCAGTTTGGCCGGGGCTGGGTTTGAACCCGCCACCCTTGGTATGTGGTGCCAGGGCCCTATTCACTGAGCCACAGGCACCATTTTTGATTGTGAAACGTCTGGTCCTTTCTCTAAATGTGGAACCCCTTTTTACTGTCATAACCCTTGTAACTGACAAGACTGTGGGTAACAGTGCTGTGGCTTGTCATATGAAGTCTTATTTCTTCTAATTCATCAGGCGAGAAGGTTTTGGTATTCGAATTCAGTGGGACAAGCAAAGTCGCCCTTCCTTCATAAACAGATGGAATCCCTGGTCCACAAATGTGCCCTATACCACTTTCATAGAACACCCGATGGCTGGTGCTGATGAGAAGACAGCGTCTCTGTGTCAGGTGAGGAGACACGTGGGACTGTCCGATGCCCAGGAGTGGCGGAGACGCTCTAGGTCTGCCCTGTCCCGCATGGTGGCCACATACAGCTGCTAAGCACTTCAAAAAATGTGGCTAGTAACAGAAGTGAACTTGTAATTTTAAAAAAGTTGAGTTAATTTGTTTAAGTAGTCCCATGTAGTTACTACTGGTCAGCATTGCTACATAAACTGACCCCTTACTGTTGGTGAAATTCTTGGAGAAAGGCAGCAGTGCTCCAGGCTGGGCAAGAAGGCAGTGGGTCTAGCTGGCAAAGGTGTGCACCTGTAGTCTCAGCTGCTCAGAGGCTGAGGTGGGAGGATCACTTGACCTGAGAGCTTGAGCCCACAGTGAGGTGTGATCTTGTCATTGCACTGAACCCTGGGTGACAGAGGGAGACCCTAGCTCTGAAAAAATTAAATAAAAAAGACAATCAGTCTGGATACTTAGCAGGGGGGGAGGCCTGGGGCCAGCATTGCAGCTGAGCCAAACTCTCGTTGGTCTTCCACTTAACAGCTGTGTGCCTTGGCCTAGTTACTGACCTGGTAGGTTGTGATAAGGATTAAGTATGTTAATTTGGCAAAGCCACTCAGACCTGAATATAGGACTGGCTGCCTTGGTTACCTATGAGTGTATGGTAAGTGTTTGACTCACCTAGAGCTGTGCTAGGGGCCCATAGGATGTCTGCAGAGAGGGCAGAGGGCCTAGCAAGGAGCAGTGTGGAGTTTGGAGGATTTGTGTCTGAAAGTGCTGGCTTTTTCTAATAATAAATTGCTCTTGTCTTGCCTCAACAGTGATGCTCTGTGTTTTCTCTCTCTTTACAGTTGGAAAGCTTCAAGGCTCTGTTAATCCAAGCTGTCAAAAAAGCTCAAAAAGAAAACCCTCTGCCAGGACAAGGGCAGGGCGTGCTCATCCTGGACCGGCCCCTGCTCATTGAGACCTATGTGGGACTGATGTCCTTCATCAACAACGAGGCTAAGCTGGGTTACTCCATGACCAGAGGCAAAATAGGCTTCTAGCCAGTGTGTTCTGGGAGCTCTTCTCTGTCCCCAGAAAGCCAAGTTGCTGGGGAGACTGGGGGCCTTTCAGTCCTCCCAAAGCTCCACTGCCAGCTGGAAGGACAGGGTCCCTTTACCTGTAGAGGTCTGAATGCCATTAGAATAGTAAAGTGAATTATATATACTGAGTTGGATATCCGACATCTGCTATAATATGAGCTACAGACAAAAGCAAACACTCTAGCTGTCATTGTGCTGCCAGTGTTCCACTTCCTGCAACTTCGGTTCTGGGTGTTTTCCTCCCATGTCTGCTTGGCTTCTTGTGGCTCTCCCCATCCTGACCACTTCAGCATGCCGAGATGCCGCCAGCCCTCAGCCCCCTGCAGCCTATAGATCATTAAATACAGGGAGGTACCTGGTACCTCGAGTGCCTGCAGTTGCAAATACGTTTACACTTGGTGTCAAATTTTGTATTTTGAAATTTAATCCATTTTTTAAATAAGCTAATAGAAAAGAAGCCAGCAGACTGGTTAACCAAGCAAGATACAGTCTGTGCCTTGTCAGCCTCTGAATGAATAATTGTTCTTTTGTAAATGTGTTTGACCTAAGTCACACTCTTTCTAAAATTAATCCAAGTTGTGTTAATACTTAATGGCATCTTTCCCAGGCCCCAAAAGGTTTACATACAGAGTCATTTTAACAGTTTATTAATTTGAGAAAGTCACCTTGGTCTTGGATACAGCTTTGACAAGTGTATATTCTGAGTTCGTACTGTTATATTCATACTTAAAAGGGAATTGAGTAGTTTGCTTTTTAAAGAATGCACTTTAAAAAAAGAACCCTATCAGATCCTTATGGAGCAGCTAGTGCCTGGCTTGGTTCCCACAGCGCCCGCGTAGCTCTGAGGGTCTCCCAGCGTGGGGACCCTGTACACCTCGCTATAGCCACACGCCAGCTTGCTTGCGTAACTGGAAGTGTTTGTCTATAAATCAGTTTCTTCCTTTTATTTACAACTCTGTTGTAGCTTTGAGCTACCCAGGGTGGTATGATCAGAATGCAGGAGCCACCGGAGCTCACAGAGGCTGCTCTGAAGCTCACTTGGGACTTTAGCCTTGGTTTTTGTTACCTCTATAAAAATATTTAGAACCAATGGGTGTTGCTCCTTTTTTGACATTGTTATTAAAGTAGGTTCAAGTAGCAAGAAGGTGCCTCTTAAGTGAGTGTAATCTGCAGCTGGAGTTGTCATACTGCCTGACGTGTACTGAGTATAGGTCCCTTTGCAGGAAGACAGTGCAGGCCTGTGGCCCTCGGTCACCTGCCTGCCAAGCCTGATGGAGGGACTTATGGCTGGGGGGGATCTGGGGCATTGGCTCTCAAATCTGAGTGGATACCAGACTCCCTGTAGAAGGGGTGCTGGGGCTTGCTCTCTGCACTCTACAGTGAGCCCGACCACAGGGAGGCTACACAAGCCCCAAGGAAGCCCACCTGCTTTCTTACAGCATCAGGCACTGAGAATGGGATGCAGGGCAGAGCCAGGTCTGCGTGCAGGGAGCCAGCTGCAGTCTCTTCAGGGTTATCCATCCTCCCTAAGACGGAACCAGAAATTGAGATAACCAAGTAAAGTTTCCTGTGTCCCAAACCTTTCAAGAAAACAAGTACCAGCAGTTGTATAAATTATCAAATATTTATTTTAAATAAAAATTAGTTTTATACATATTTACAAAAATGCCTTGCGATAGAAAAATAGAACCAAATCACTGAATTTGGACCATCACACTGGGGAACCTCCCAGGGAAACTTCCTTCCCACAAGGGAAGTGTGCAGGGTGGCTCCTGTTCCCACAGATGTGGCTGTACAGTGCCTACATGTGGCCATCCAGCTGACTGATGGCTGCTGGGCTGATCCCCTCGGTCTCCAGGAAACACAGACAGAAGTGATCCTTGCTGAGGAGGGCCAGCGAGTCCCCACTGCAGTGCCAGCACAGAGAAAGCACGGAGAAGTCACCTAGAGAAACAGATGGCCAGAGGGTTGGAGGAGAGCCCAGGGTCCCAGGTGAGGGCAGCCTCTCATCCTGTGCGTGGGCAGAGGGCCGGAGGTAGCCCAGATGTGCAGAGTCAGCCTCATACCACCAAGGGCGATAGGTCCTATGCCCCACATACACACTGGGCGCTGGCCTGGAGGCTTACTGAGCTGTGAGAGCAAGTCCCACTTCATCTTGGAGGCAGCAGCGGGTTAAGGCAGCGTGAGAGCCTGTCAGCCCATCTGTGCAGGCTGCGTTTCCATACCTGCTGGACTGTGCTTGTTGGCCAGGGCTCTGGCATACTCACCTTCCCCAGGCACCTGTACGGACACGCAGCCTGCTGGGGACCACAGGTAGGCCTTGCTGCCGCCAGTGCAGATGGCCAGCCGGGGCTGCTGCGGGTCCCACTGGAAGGAGCGCACAGGGGACAGCTGCTCGAGCACCACGAACAGCCTCAGCTTCTGCATGTCCCAGACCCAGACGGCATTGGGGACATTGTCTGAGGAAGCAAGGGAGGGACACTGCAGTCACTGCCCAGACCCTCCAGTCTGCTGTTCACTGCTCTGGGGGAAAGGCAGGGGGGTAGCCCAGTGCAAACGTCTACAGTGGCACCTGGGCGCTGGGCACCAGGGCCAGAGAGGTAAGTCTGAGGCTTTAGAGGACACAGCCCTTCACAAATGCAAACATCTTTCCTAAAAACAGGCTAACTGGCTGCAGTTCACCCCACCCTGCTCTTCACTCAGCAGAGAGGAGGCAGTGAGCAGAGCAGCAATCATGACTGGCTGGCCTGCCAATCATGACTCGATGGTCTGTCAATCATGACTGGCTGGCCTGTCACTGCCAACAAAGGTGAGGCCCTGCTCCTCTAGAAGCTTCTGCAGGTAGAACCTTTGCTACTTCAAAAAAGTGGGAAGAGGCAATGTGCAGGAAAACCCATACTTGATCTTTTCCAACCATTTCTACAGCTGCTGCCAAAGGACTCTATGAGTAGACAGGCAGCACCTGCTATGGGGACTGACCGTTCCTTGTCGCCAGGAAGTAGCTGTCAGGACTAAAGGCCAGCATCCCTATGCCAATCTTAGGGTTCGCTCTGTCGGTGAGAGGTTTCAGAGTCTGCAGGGAGGCTGGTATGGCGGCGATCTCATCTAGAATACCAAGAGGGAGAAGGCACACGTCATCTTTCCTGAGTGTACCCTCGTAGGAGCTGCTGTGACACCCACACCGGGAGGCAGCAGGAGGAACATGCTGCCAGGGGCTAATCAGGGGCTTTGTGGGAGCCTGGTGGCTGCAGCGCCTCCATGAGGCCCGTGAAGAGGGTGGTGCTGTGACCTACAAGGCCCCGGGGATCAGGCCCCGCAGTCTCTGGAGCCCCAGCCATACCTGGACAAGCTCCAGGACTACCCCGACCCAATGACAGTCTCAATAACTCAAACATCTGGGATTTTTTTTTTTTTAATCTACTTCTGGCATCTTAGTTTACAGTCTGCTCCAATCTCAACTTCAGTATTCGGACTTCTCAGGCACAGAGCGCCAGACACAGAGGCTGTGCTGTAACAGTAAAGCACCATGTACAAGAGGGACCAGTGTGGGAGGGGTGGCACTCAGGAGCCTCCTGCTAACCGTATTCCCCCGGCTAGAAACTCCGTGGTGTCCCAGCGTTCCTGTGGGACAGCTGCTTCCACTGTGCCCAAGTCAGGGATGAGGAAACTGAGGCACAGGCAGATGCAGCCTGTCTCAGCCAGGAGGTTTCCCTCTTCACTAACACCCTGCCTCCACCGACACACCAGCTGTCAGCTTGGATCAGCTCATATTCAATCAACAAAGCACCTCACACCTTAGGGACTTGATTCAAGCTCCCAGCAATCCCAGGATTGAAGGGTAAGGCAACACAGGAGATGAAAAAAGTGCTTTTTAACAGATAAAGAACATCTGAAATTTACCTGGAAAAAGAGGAATCATTTGCATTAAAAAAGAGAGAAGGAAGGTAGTCAGGGGCTCTTACATTTACTCTCAGAGGTGGTCCTGGGGGGCGGGAGGGGGAGGCGGCCCAGCCCCTGTATCGGGCTCTTCTGGGTTTCCTTATACACAACCTGAAAGACAGCGCATGGCCCCCACTGCCTGCAGCCCCACTGCCTGCAGCCCCCACTGCCTGCAGCCCCACTGCCTGCAGCCCCCACTGCCTGCAGCCCCACTGCCTGCCTCGCAGCAGCGGCCAAGGGGCTGAGGAGACAGTGGCCTAGGCCCACAGGGCACCTGGTGAACAGGCTGTGTGCTGTAACACCGGGTCGCCATCCCCCAGAGAGACTGAAGCATGAGCTTCCCAGGTGAGCTCACCCACCTGCCCCTCCCCCCTAGAGTCTGCTCTTTCAGAAATAAGGTGGCAAATGCATTTGAGTGCGTGTTTATGGACAGGCCATGTGATAGTGATGCAGAGAAAGCTCGCACCAAGCTCGCCCAAGAGATGCAGAGAAAGCTCCCACCAAGAGGCCAGGGCAGGTGGGGAGGCCCAAGGAGTAGCACAGACCTGAGTGGGGAACACCCTTGACTGTGAGCCTGGAAAACCAGGGCCAACAGCACAGGCTGGGGGATGGGGACAGCCCTTGGTCTGGTCAGACCTGCATTTTTATTATTATTTTTTTCACAGGCACTGGGACTGGGACCAACAATGACCAGCTGCCAAGGTACCAAAAAATTATGCTTCCAAAGTCTCTTGATGTCATTTCTGCATGAAGAGCAGTTGAGTTGCCCCACAGGTACCCCTCACGATAGAAGCCTTTCTTTCAGACCTGCATTTTTAAAGCATGTTGCGTGCAGAGTGGTGAAAGGCAGACTCCTGAGCCTGCATGGTCTGTCCTGAGGCCAGGCCTCCCCCTCACCCACCTGCAGGGTCCCTTCTGCCTGAAACGTGGTAGCTCCTGTCCAAAGCACATCCCTGGCGGCCACCTTGCCTTGAGTGTGCAGCCCCCCATCACTCTGCATAGTCCTCATCACATCCACCTGCTTTACTTGCTTTCTGAGTATCCTACTCACCAGTTTGGTTTTGCAGTGCCGGCAGGTGGCAGGCACCAGCAGTGGGCACTCGCCAATCCCCGAACAGAGACATACCCCAGGCCCTTTGCACTCCCTGCTCCCTCCCCAGAACTCACCTCAAACCACCCAGGGCCTGCTGGCTGATGGCCATTCCTGCCACTGCATGGAGACATCAGCCTTCCTAGCCCCTCCCACAGGGGTTGGCCAGGGTCTGTCTGCCCCTCCCTGGCTGTAGTGGGCACAGTGTGTGGGCAGGAGGGGTCCCTGTCTACTCTGCAGAGGTCAGACGTCTGCATCTGCAAAGGGCTGGGCTGTGCAGGGAGAGCTGAGCAAGGGGCCCACTCCAGACCATGGCCAATGTGGGGGAAGAACAAAGACCACTGTTAAGTCTGGCTGTGGAAAGGTTAAAGGAAGTTCGTGGTGGTGTAAGCACTCCGCTAAAAAATACACCACAATAAATGACACAAAGTAGAAACACAGTTCCCTAACCACTCCCCAAAGTATTTAGTGCTCTTGACTTACTATCTTGGGGTTATTAACAGTCGCAGGATGCCCAAACTCCGTGATCATTTTCCAGGTCACGTGGTTGAGGATGCGCACCTGAGGGGAAGACCATGTGGGTCAGCACAGGGCTCCAGCCTAGCCTGGCTCACTTGGGCTCGGCAGGTCAAGCTCTGGTCCCCGTCCCCACCTTTCCATCATAGCTCCCAACCGCCAGGAACTGACTGCTGGGGCTCCAGGCCACAGACTTGATGCCCAGTGACCACTCGTAGGCACAGTATGCAGACAGCAGCCGGCCATCCAGGGAGTAGAGCAGAATCTTATACTGCGGGAGAGACGTTTCAGCCGTTAGTTACAAGTATGTCAGATCCACCTGGAACACGTCAGGGACTTGGGCACTGCAGACAGAGGCTGGTGCAGACTGTGTGAAGCTGGCGGGAAGAGACCATCCTCCACGCCGATGGGGAGTTGAGACCATCAGCTACAGCTGAGGTCACGCCTACAGAAACGGTGACAGCAGCGTGCTGGGAAAGGGGACTCTAGAGTACAAATCTAATGACTGGAGGGCGGGGCGCGGTGGCTCACACCTGTGATCCCAGCATTCTGGGAGGCCGAGGAGGGTGTATTGCCTGAGCTCAGGAGTTCTAGACCAGCCTGAACAAGAGTAAGACCCTGTCTCTAAAAATAGCCAGGTGGCTCGGCGCCTGTGGCTCAACCCGCTAAGGCGCCAGCCACGTACACCTAAGGTGGCAGGTTCGAATCCAGCCTGGACCCGCCAAATAACGATGACGGCTGCAACCAAAAAATAGCCGGGCGTTGTGGTGGGCGCCTGTGGTCCCAGCTACTTGGGAGGCGGAGGCAGGAGACTCGCTTGAGCCCAGGAGTTGGAGGTTGCTGTGAGCTGTAATGCCACGGCACTCTACCCAGGGGGACAGCTTGAGGCTCTGTCTCAAAAAATAAAATAAAATAAAAATAGCCAGGTATTGTGGTGGGCACGTGTAGTCCCACCTACTTGGGAGGCTGAGGCAGGAGGATGATTTGAGCCCAAGAGTCTGAGGTTGCTGTGACCTATAATGCAGGGCTTTCTACCCAGGGCAACAAAGTGAGACTCTGTCTCACAAAACAAAACAAAAAAACAAATCTAATGACTTGCTGAAGATACAGTTAACCGTGTTGCCACATCCAGAAACTGTTACACAAATTCAGGCAAAGCTCTCAGGACATGGATATGTCACCTGGCGACTTCGTACCTCCAGGCAGGTGTCCCACACAGCCAGCACACAGCCATTCGGGGCCCACTCGATCCCTGCAAGATCCTGGGTGTCCGTATCAAAGTGCTTCCAAGGAGAGGAGGAAAACAGATTAAAATCTGAAAATATCTTCCTAAGTAAATTGCATTTATTTGATAATTGGTGTTTTTTAAACACACTCAGCACTTAGTTTTCCTATACAAGAGCAGATGAAACCTCTACACCTGTACTCCTGTAAGTGCACTCAACTCTGCAGAACCCGGCAAGGCACAGCACAGGTGCCAGCATCCGCGCCACGTGGGAAGTGGTGGAGCCTGGCCACACCTCGTGCGCCTGCACACACGTGCACTCTGCCTTCTGACCACTCACTGCTGGACAAAGGTCACTGCTATAAGTCCCTCCAAGGAGCACTCTCCGCTGTCCTCTACAGCCTTCTGGAGGGTTCTTTGCCCTAACACTACGGTGCCAACACTGTGTTCATGGGCAGCGCCTTGTGCCTCGCGCCTGGACTCATCTCCCAGGAGCAGGCTCTGTCAAGGTGGACTCCGCTTCACCCCCAACCCTGCTGCAGCACACACCACTCCGAGTGACTCCACATGGGACAGGCACGTCACCTGCAGCAACTCACAGCATCCCACCCTTTGGCAACACCTGGCTGCATGGCTCCGTGTTGTACCTAAGGTCCCCGGAATCCTGAGGAATGTCCACCACACCCTGTTCCCTCTCCAGTCAGCATGACACCTGTGTCCCCGGTGGGCAAGTGCCTCACCCTCAGGAGCTGCCAGTCACTGCAGACGAAGACGCTCACGTAGTCTTTGCAGTCACGCCGCTCCGCCAAGGCCATGTAGCGGCCATCCCTGGTAAAGGTGATTCCTGCCCCAGACAGGAAAGTGTGCTGGAATCAGGACTCAGCTGCAGAAGGGGCATGGGGGCCAAAAAGCAACAGGCAGAGGAGAGGACGGAGGTGGCACAGAGCCTGTGTTTCTTCAGACAGATCAAAACTCTGCTGCAAAGGGGACTGCAGAGAGCTGTGGTCTCATCCGTCACAGCCCAGCTGAGATGGGGAGACTGGCACACACAGACAAGTGACGCGCAGGCATCTGTGAACGACCCGAGTGCCCTGACCCCTGACGAGTCTCCAGCTAACGCTGAAAACACACAGAGCCTCCAGGCCACCAAACCTACACTCTGGGACAGCAGGGCATTTTCAGGAGTCAGTCGGCTTGCTACTGCATTCCTTATTCTTACCTTTGAATTTAATTATTTTCAAGTAAATTTAAGATGAAAATCTGAAAAATATTCTGGTTGGACAAAACCCTATACTTTCTAGTTCTGTATTAGCTTAAAAAGTCCGAGGCCACTGGTCAGAGTGGCTAATGCCTGTAATCCTAGCACTCTGGAAGGCTGAGGTGTGTGGGTTGCTTGAGCTCCAGAGTTCGAGACCAGCCTGAGCAAGAACGAGAGCCTGTCTCTAAAAAAACCAAAAACTAGCAGGGCATTGTGGCAGGTACCTGTAGTCCCAGCTACTTGGGAGGCTGAGGCAAAGAATTGCTTGAGCCTAAGACATTAAAGTTGCTGTGAGCTATGATGCCATGACACTCTACCAGGGGGCAAGATAGTGAGATTCTGTCTCAAAAAAAAAAAAAAAGGGCGGCACCTGTGGCTCAAAGGAGTAAGGCACTGGCCCCATATGCTGGAGGTGGTGGGTTCAAACCCAGCCCCAGCCAAAAACTGAACAACAACAACAAAAAAGCTGTAGGCCAAAATTCATACTTTATGAATTAAAAACCCCACCTAAATAATGCAACTTTTCTTTCTACTTAAGAAATGTGTATCTCATGGGTAGTACCTGTGGCTCAGAGAGTAGAGTGCCAGCCCCACATACTGAGGGTGGCGGGTTCAAACCCAGCCCTGGCCAAACTGCAACAAAAAAATAGATGGGCACCCGTAGTCCCAGCTACTCGGGAGGCTGAGGCAAGAAAATCACCTAAGCCCAAAAGCTGGAGGTTGCTGTGAGCTATGTCACCACAGCACTCTACTGAGGGTGACAAAGTGAGACTCTGTCTCTAAAAAAAAAAAGAGAGAGAAGAAGAAAAGAAAAGAAATGTGTATCTCATTTAAAAGAGACACTAATATTCAAACTATAAAAATAAAAAAATACAGTTGCATTTCATTAAAATGCAATTTGCAAACTGACAGCAACAGAGAAAAGTGGAAGCATCATTCAAGTGGCATGAGGCTCCTCTCACAATTCCAGGAGGTAGCACAGGTGGCATGAGGCTCCTCCCACAATTCCAGGAGGTAGCACAGGTGGCATGAGGCTCCTCCCACAATTCCAGGAGGTAGCACAGGTGTGCCCACTAGCTCTGTCCAGTTACATCTTGCTGGCAGTGGGCCACACTCCACCGTTCCTCCTGAAGGCTCAGGGGCTTCAACAAGGAAGGAACACCTGTCACTTATCCCTCCTCTGGGAGGCCCTGAGGCGACAAGGTGTGATCTCCCCTTTACCAAGAGTTAGAGACATAAAGTTCAGAATAGGACCAACAGGAGGCTTGAGGTGGGGCTCCGACAGGCACCAGCTGGCGGGGATCTGAACTCCCGGCTCTGCAGTAGGGGAGGTCCCTCCCAAGGGACCCCAGTAAACTCTGTTTTTCTCCAAAGCGATGGACATCACCCTCATTAGTCACTGTGACAGTCTTTTAAAAGGGGACGCCTGTCTTTTAAATACGTATGGAAATGTCTCCAGATGCAGGATCAGGAGACTGGGGCTGGGTGGAGATGGGCTGGGAGCTGTGTGCTGTTGGGCTGCCTCTGTCTGTTTGAAACATTCCATGACAAAATGGTCAAACCCCCCAAAACGGCTGCAAAGAAGTGGCTTTCAAGCAGCTCTGACAGACTTACCCTGCTGACAGGCTTTGGGGTATTTGATGTAAGATATGGATTTTGTGCACAAGGACCAGACGGTTATCCGCAGCTGTCAGGGGAAAGAGGAGAGAAAGGGAACAGAGAACACTCAACCCTTTAGAAAGACCCTCTTGACCCCTAAACCCATTAGATCATCAGCACCCACACACGAGACTGCAAGGGTACTCAAATGCACATTTTACTGTTAATAGAGTATACTGAGGTTCTTGGTTTTTCATTTTATAACAGTATTATTTTAAGTGACATGAGGCTAAATATAACCACATTTTCGTTAGCTATTTCAAAACAAGCACAGGTTGCATATTGTAATAATATAATAAGCCTCAAAGGTATTTAGTCAGAGCAGCGTGCAAAGGTCCCGAGATGGGAGAAGAGCTGAATAAACCACAGCCCATCTTCCTCGGGAGGGAAGGACGGACCTGCTACACCTGTTGACACAACACATCTAAAAGCAGCTTCTGGAGACAAAGCACAGGTTGGCACAGCCTCAGATAGTTGGGAAGGAAAAAAACACCTCTGAGTGCACAGTCCTTTTAAATAAAAATACAGTGTTTGTACACATACAGAGGACAAGACCCTCATGAAAATGAGGGGACATTAGTGCAAACTACAGGAGAGGTGCCCCCGCCCCGGCAAGAGGCCAGGTTGTGGAGGGGCAAGTGTGGCTGTGCAGCCCTGGCAGGTCCCATTCTCAGGCCTGAGTGGCTTTCGTCACTCACTGAATCTTGTCTAGAGGGCACAGGCCTTCTCTGCCCCTGCTACCCAGGGCAGGGTCTTCTCTTGCTCCCCACAATGCCCCCTGCAGGCTCGCACACAGTGACCCTGGTGATGCTTAGAGAGAACGTGGGGGGTCCTCACACATGTATTGACTGACTGACACACAGGTGCTCACAGGGTCACTTCCTGGCCAGTAGGCGCACCTGTTCTGCCTTCACTGGCAGTCATTTCCCTCAGTATGAAAGAGGGAGGCACATTTCAGTCCCTGCTCAGGACACCGAGCAGTTACCAGCACGTCAGTATGTAATCTCAACATCTACTCTAAGGCCACCAGCAAAGCGGCCAGGACCCTGGTCCCAGGTGGAACGATGTCATCTAGATGCACGCTGTGCCAAGTCAGTTTATTCTGTAGCAAATACATGTGTGTATACGGGGTTGCAGTCATTCACCTGGGACCTTAAACCCTCCCGTAACACTCTCAATCCATTTCAGGAGAGGACAGGATCACATGGGGTCAGTGCCCCGTACGCAGGGCGAGCACTCACGTGGAATTCCGTCGTGTTGAGAATGTGGCGCCCGTCTGGGCTCCAACACGAAGCCACCAGGCCTGCCGAGCCCTCGTCTATTTTGCAGTGCCACTCGGGCTGCTCCAAAGACCAGACCTGGACACATAAAACAGAGAACCATGCCACGAGACTAAAAAAAACGAGCACATTCCAGTGAGTCCTCAGCAAGGGAGAGAAAGCGCTTGCTTCACACCCCTGCATGGGTCAGAACAGGGTCTCTTCAGCAGTCTTTCACTAAGAAGGCCTAGCACGGCAGCCACCACAAAAGCAAGCCACACTTGTTGGTGACTTCATTCTGTTGTAGATTTAAAGCTTATTCACATTGCCATTCTCTCTTTTTTTTTTTTTTCGCTTTTGAGACAGAGCCTCAAGCTATCACCCTGTGGGCAGAGTGCTGTGGCATCACAGCTCACAGCAACCTCCAACTCCTGGGCTCAAGCGATTCTCCTGCCTCCACCTCCCAAGTAGCTGGGACTACAGGCGCCACCACAATGCCCGGCTATTTTTTAGTTTCAGCCACCATTTGTTGTTTGGCAGGTTGGGCTGGATTCGAACCCGCCAGCTCAGGAGTATGTGGCTGGTGCTTTATCCGCTTGAGCTACAGGCACTGAGCCACACATTGTCATTCTTAACACCCCAGTTAAGCTTTGTGCATATAAAAAACATTACCTATTGGGACGTCCTAAAATACACAGTGTCCAAGCATCTAGACTCCTATCTGTAAATACCTGCTTCTGAATCATATTTGTTCAGATACTAAGAATATTTTAGAGTTTCCTCATTTTATGTTTTTTTGGAGACAGAGTCTCAATATGTCACCCTCAGTAGAGTGCCATGGCATCACAGCTCACAGCAACCTCAAACTCTTGGATTTAAGTGATTCTCTTGCCTCAGCCTCCTAAGTAGCTGGGACTACAGGCTCCCGCCACAACACCCAGGTATTTTAACTGGCCTGGGCCAGGTTCGAACCCACCATCCTCGGTGGATGTGGCTGGTGCTGTAACCAGTGTGGAACGGTGCCAAGCCATGTTTCCTCATTTTCAAAGTACTTGGATTAAACTACTAGAGTATGTTATAATTTTAATAGAAAACTGGTTGTGAGCCACAATGCCATTTTTTCTCAAACTAGAAGGGTCCAGAACGAAACCATTCCTTCCCAGTGCCGCTCTTGGGAAGGTCCCCAGTTCTGCCCCACACAGCAGCACGCACCTGCACAAGGCCTCGTTTGTACATGGCGCACAGGATGAAGAGGGAGTCTGCCGACCACTCCACATGCTGGATCTGGTCCAGGCACGTGTACAGCTGGAGGATCTGCAGCGTGTTCACATCTCGGACCACCAACCGGTACTGAACGCAGGAAGCCTAAAACAGCCCAAGGAAGAAAACACTTGACCTTCTCTGCTCTGAAGGAAGGGACCTCCCACAAGGCTAGTCAGTCTCCTCTCCTGGCAGGCATATTTCGTTCTAGATGGCCAATTCCAGAACCCAGCCCCCAAATGAGACAAGTTAATGAAAGATCAAGTGAAAATACACAAGCCAGGTTCTAAAATTGTTATACTCCAATTAATGTACAGGAGTATTTTAAACTCTCTACTTCAAGCATTTCCTAGTCCTTCCCTAGCTGTGTATTAAGAACTCAAGTGAGAAAAAAACTCTTTTGTGAACTAATAACCAATCCTTTGACTTCATCATTTTAGACAATTTCCTCAAATTTAGAGAGGGTAAGAAGGTCTCACAGTTGTCACTGAGAAAGAGTGAAATGCAACACTCTTCAGCACGGTGCCCGACCCAGAGCCCCACAAATCGGTTGATACAAACAAAGGTTTTAAATTCTGCACACATGATAATACTTCACAAACACTCATTAACCTGCATTAACTCACTCCTAATACCAAATATGAAAATGTTTAAGTGTTAACATTCTTTTCTTTTTTTTTTTTTTTTGAGACAGAGCCTCAAGCTATCCCCCTGGGTAGAGTGC